GATGATTAAAATTTCTAGTCTTATGAGTGATTAAATTTTTAAGAAAGGCTAGAAAAATAACTTAATTAGTTCAGTGTCCTTCGTCATTCTATTATTTTCTCGCCTATTTTCTTTGCTTTTTTATTTTTCAGAACGGCAGTTGTTTGTAGTCATCACCAATTTGTCATTCTGTTATGGATTTTCATATTCCATCCATATATGTATCTATACAATATGTATATACATATAGCTTTTGTTCTAGTACTATTGTAAAAGTATTTTGCCTACTTTTGCAGAGAGTGTTGCCTTGTCGAACTGTATGCACTATACGTAAAACTTGTACACCAACCAGATAGTAATAAATTACTTATTTCATTTAAACGTGAAAACAATTTTTCGACAATAATTTTATGAGAAGAGAGAGGTGGGGTATTCATAGGCAAACGTGTGTTAACACTAGAAAACATTAAATTAATTTGAAAATATGTTATATGGTTGTTGTATTTTAGTTTAGTGTAATAACAGTATTAGTCGGTGGTCAATATCATAGTTGTGGTGATCTAGCTGGTCAATCGATGAATGTGTTTGGTTACTATGCGCGTAAGTATATAATTGTGCAAACACATGTGTCTATAGGTGTTTGCGTTTCAGTGTTTGTGAAACTGACAGTTACTTAAACTATTAGTTTGCATTGTCATCTAATTTCATTCCAAACTAACAATAGGTTAAAACATATTTTATTAAAGGACGTATGTATTCAGACAATTTGTAATCACACCAGACTTAGACAGAAATATAGACTGATATTATGTTTGTGTAATTTATGATTGTTTTTCTATTCAATTTAATTCCCTTCAGTTTTACAATATACGTAAGTAAAACGAAATGTTTTTCCAACAATTTTTCCACAATGACGTTTTACGAACTCGAAAACAAAATTTTTAATGAAATGGCACATAATTAATGGTAGACTGAGAAGTAATAAATACATCATCAAAGGAATTTGTCTAAATAATCACTTACTGTGTAAGAGGTTGATCAATTTCCAACCTACATCACTGTCACCATCCCTATAATAATAATAATAATTATTATTATTATTCTTACTATTATCACCGTAATTATTATTATTATTAGTCGTAGAAGGAGTAGACGCAGTAGTACTGGTTGTATCAGTAGTAGTTGAGACTAATATAATGAGTTCAGAACATATAGGTGATCAATCATTCAGTTAATTTTACATGCGTATCTTAAACACTTCAATGAAATTGTTACATTCGACACAAGCTATTTGTCGTATGTCTAAACTAAAATTTAGATATGAATACGAACGATGGGACAGTTTTAGCCCTTAATAATAACTATATAAACAACATATCCTTTGAACAAGTTAGCGGCTGTCTAAACAGAAATTTGGCGGATAACGCGTTAGCAGTGGGTTTGAGGTGTTTCACCAAACTACTGAGTATTTATATGAGTCATGTAACAACTAGCTTACTACCCTGTATAGGTCCTGAAGATTTCTGGAATCAACATTTTCAAACCTCATATAATTAGATACATTCAGTTTTCGTCTTTTACAATAACTGATCACTCTTATTATCCACATTGGTTTCTTTTCTGTTAACTTGCATCTATCATTTTGCTAACCTTTATATCTCTTCGGTTATCATAATTTCCATATTGTGTAATATGTATAAAACAGAGTGGATTTTTAATCCTTGTTACGTTTCTGTTTCTGAAATGCTTCAGTAATATCTGAGATTATAATGAGATTTTTAAAATAAGGCTCTCCAGCTTAAAAATATTCATTAGCTCTGATGTTATACCATTCATTTAATTTATTAAGCTTCGAAGCTAATTAATGGTGAAAATCAATCATATGTAAGTCTTTTTTTGATTATTTCTATACTCCCGTAGATAAATAAACTCATAAAGTAAAATTCAACGAATTATAGCCATCGATATTTGATTGAATTGTGTAAAAGTAGCATACGGGCATATGCTTCAGGCATGTCGATTGACTACGGATATATTTAAATATGTTTAGATAAAAGAAAAGGGTATATGATTTTATTTTAATAAATATATTTCAATAAAAGGCGACGAATATGGGAATAACAGAAACTATTAGATAATGGGACATTGTTGGAATTATCTCGCTTGATATGACAAAAAGTATTGTCTTTATCGAGAATGCTGAAAAATAAATGTACATAGGTGGAGGGGACGGTGAGAAGGAAAAAGAACGGTAGTATGCCAGAGCTCAGTTAGAAAGTAATGATTTGAGAGCGATCCAGACTTTCGTAGTGTGAATTTCTGAGCTTCTAAGAAGTTTTAATAGTCAATATTAGGAATTTCTTAGTAAATATTATTAGTAAACGTTATATTTATCGATAAGTGTTTGATATTGACAAGAAAATAAATGACGAATTGATTAGAATTTTCTGCTTTTTTTTCTCATAATGATACGGGGAGTTGTTTTCTCCAATCTAAAGAAATAAACTGCCTTCAAGTATATTCAAATTGAATACATATGTACACAGTTAGTAGGTGGTTACTGAACTTGATGAGTGAATAATTTGAATATATCCACTGTCTGCACGGATGTTCAATACAAGCAGACATAGTAAGTAAGCAGCTATCACACTGTGAAGTCCGTGACCATGAGACTTTTACATGATAATTTTAGTTTACTTTTTGAGATGTCAGATGATATAGCTCACAAGATAAGTCTCGGTAGCTTAGTTGTACTTAACATTCATCTTCCTTCTCTAGGTTTTAACCTTAATGTTATTTCATATTTTCACTGATACATCTCATTTGTTTCGTTCAAACTATAGCTTTGTTGTTTGAATTTTCTATAATTCTTATTTTTTCTCACATGTTTCTTTTATAACTGTTCCGATTTGAAGTATTACAACTTGAAGCAATACATAATCACTAAATTTTATTCTGACTGTAACAGGTTGACTAGGGCTGACAAACTAGAAAAGGCTTTGTGAAATGTGACCGCAAGCTAGTTAACTTGAACTAATCTCTTTTGATTATGGTTTCCCTGAAATACAGTTTATATAGATTTAGGTTAGATACTACTTAAAAACAGAATGTTGCAGTATTGAACACTGATAACAAGTCTGTCTTTTATCCACAATTAAACTTAAACATTCGTCTAAATTGTTTCAACATACAGGAAATATTTTCATTGCTGAAGTTACTTTATTTTTTAATTACAATTTATTTCATTTTCAGTCACTTTGTTTCAATGAACTATCAAACGGCAATCTAATTTTTACCATTATTTATCATAGTTTTTAGACTCGATCGAACTATATCATTATTTTCATGATTGTTGAAATACAGTTAGTTCTTTGAAGAGGTTGGAGTTAAAAATAATTCAGAGAATATGGAATTTGTTGTTTTAAGTACGATAAAATATTTAATCCATTAGTTTTTCATTTTGTGTCTAGTGAGAATGAAAACTTCTACCAAACTAGTTAAATCTTTTCATAATATCTAATAACATAGTTATATCATACTAATGACCGATCTCTCGATAAAATAATGGAAAATCATAAACCGTGAACTCAAAAACATCAGGAGACATTAATAAACTTGAAACATTGGGTTATGGTATTTCAAGAATTGTTTGAAATAGGAAATTTCAATTAATTTCTTTCATATCTCACTCAGTTAGGAACTCGAATATTTTTGTTTAGATTTCATTTGTTGGATCATTGTTTCGACCTACCAGAGAATCATAAACTAGGATGCAACAGCTTCCATAGCTCCCCGTAACTTTTGATGGCATCGCAATTAGTGTTAGTTTTTGTAGAGTGTTTTCTACACGATCTCAAGATCGTCTGAAAAGATTATATTTATTATTTTGTTCATGGTATTCGTCTTGGAGTGGTCTCAGTCGGGTTAAAAATAAAAACCAAGGGGAGATGAACAACTGCTTCATTAGAGTATGAAACTTTTCGTGGAGTTGGGATCAATAATCACATCACAGATCGAATCCAGGGCCTTCAGGTCTCATAATAAAGTACTTGATCAAATCACTTGAATTCAGTGATTTTAATGATGTTTTGAGGCGTAAACTTCTCAATTTATCTATAGAAACTTATTAAAATAGTTTAGGATGAATTAAAAAATGTTTGAAATCAGCAGAAGTAATCATGATTCATTTTAGTTTTAAAATATTGTAAGATCTAGATAACTTCGTTTATTAATTTAGTTCTGAGTTGTGGTCAATCTACACTGGTAACGTAAGCGAAACAGAAATTACGTTGATTTTTTCCGAACATGTTTATTACTACTGCTAATAATAATATGATAATAAAAACAACAGAAGATTACAATTCAGTTGGTTAATTCATTTACCTCCTTTTTAAATAGCTTGTCAATGTGGTAATCACACTGATCAATGTGTATTCAGCGTAAAAGCTTTCAAGCGTTCCGGTGGTATAACCGGTGGTATATGCTTGGCCTGTCAACATCACACAGAAGGTGCAAACTGTGATCAGTGCATTGTTGGATACTATCGTGATCCTAATTTAACCATGGGAAATGAGCATGCATGTCGAGGTAGGCAATTAATGAAAACTCAACTATTAGTTCTCTCGCTGTCATAAAATATTAACTGACAAATGAGAACTCAAATGGAAGAGTCGAGTTATATCACCGATTTTGTTGTCTTTATGTAGTTAATTTATTTGTTGTTTGTGTCTAATTCAGTGTTATTATATTTATTCATTTACTTGTATATTAAATAAACGTATAACATGGCGGGGATTCGTTATTCGCCCTATATGTATATATACATATACGATATGGCTCTAACTATACCAAACGCTTCAAAATTCAATATTGTTGTGGTAACTGTGGGTTTATTATCTATGTGTATACATGTACCTATTACTGGAAAATGCTGCATGAATCCGTAAAACTTGCATTTCCAATTGTTATGTGCACGAATCATTAAATGTATCCACTCATGGTTTTGGTGAATAATATATTAGGATGCGATTGTAATCTGCACTCGAACTCATGCATATTTTCAAATCAGTTATATCTGATGTCGATGAAAGTAAGTGGTGGCGTATGTCAAGATTGTCAACATAATACAGTCGGAAGAAGATGTCATAACTGTGTAACAGGTTACTATAGAGATTGGACAAAGCCTGTTAGCCATGATCAAGCCTGTTTGGGTAAGAGTTTTGTCTGTAAGTAGATATTTTATGGTGAGATGAACATCGCTGTACTTCTTAACGGGTAATACATTATCAACACAAAAAACCAGCTAACAGACAGTTTTTTCATGATCTGATTGGTCGCAAGTATATCATAACCAAAAGTCAAATGGATTAAAGTCTCTATACAAACGACCGAAATTTGAAGATTAATAAAACAGCCCTCAAACATGATTCTGAATATATTGAGAACTTTAATTATTTAGCTTTGTGTATTTCCAATTAATAATATAGAAAATTGTAAGCTTGACGTAGTGAAGCTTGCTTAAAAATATATCACTTGATTCCAACAGATGTATACTGTGATGGATTTCTCGCTATTTGATAACAGTTGTTCACACTGAACATGTGATTCACAGTCAACCACATTAATGCCAATCTAGATGTCTTTGGAATAAAATAAACACAAAAATCTTCAGAATGTGCATTGTTTTACATAGTGCATAAAAATTAACAACAATAGTTTTACGTGGCATACACTATAATTGTTTCTTAACAAAAGGATACTATGCTTTTATGGTGACCGGTCTCTATGGAACAATGATTCTTACTTTAAAATGCATGATTCCTGTGTTTTAACAACTTGCATGGTAAATGGCATTATTTCTCTCAACTAAGACGTTTTTTGAAATGTGCTTACAATGAATTGACGCTTTGCATGTTGATTTGTTCATGCTTTTTATATATTACATGACTATTAAACAATGATTTAATCATGCCAAGTATATACATTCTAGAATGCCGATGTCATCCGATCGGATCAATTGCTAATCAGCATTGTGATCGTAAAACCGGTCAGTGTCCATGTAAACCAGGAGTTGTTGGGCAAGCTTGTAATCGCTGTCAAGAAGGTTATAAACAAACTCGTTTACCTGATGCACCATGTATTAAAGGTAAGTATTGACCGAGTTTGTATAATTTATTTCATATGTATATATTATTAATTTAATGTATTCTTTTATTTGAGATAATGAATGGATTGTTCTCGAAATCCAGTACGGAATATAATCATTAATGACTACTTCAGTATGAAAAGTAAACATATTAGACTGGAATTCTTTTTCCACCAGGATTATGTATACTGCTTAAGGTGACAGTTTAGATCTTGCCCTGGCAAATATCCATATAGTGAAAGGACCATGATCGTTTGCACATGATCAGTTTCAGTTAAATAAATGGCTTTCACTACCACAGCTCCAACTATTAAGTCCAACTCATCAACATCAAATTATATATCTGCCTAAATCAGTTTGTTGAAGATTACTAACTTTTTCTTCGATAGTCTACCCTCCTGCCAGCATCAGTGTTCAACAGAAGACTGTACTTCTTTTACAGTCCTATCAATATTTGTAAAATGCTATCCATCAAGTTAAATGGGACCACCTCTTCTTTTTTTTCAAATAACTTGCTACAAAAAAATAATAATAAATGCCCAAAATAAATTATAATGGTGAAAGACAAAATTCAAACAAAAATAGAATACATAAATTATTTTAAAATAAGTTTTGCATGTCACACAATAATCATCTATAGTATATTTTTTTTAAAAAAAAAGGAGCGAAAACTATTCAAACTAGTTATGAGTAAATTTCTGTATTGTCTAATAATCACATGTACGTTTTAGGTAGATAGATATATGTCTATACACAAACAAATATCATCAATTTTTGATACACATAGAAACAAGTACATTAACATATTATTTTTAGGATAGAGAATATAAAGAGAGGATAAAATGAAGTGCAAAAAATAAAAAATAATAAGACAAGATTAATGTTACATAACACAAGGAAGGTGATCATGACCACCAGTATTGATGACGAATTTGTTTTTTGGGATTTTTTTTTAAAAAAATACATTATTTTTCACGAATAATTTTTTTAAACATTGAATCGTATATTTTTCTATTGTTTTGCTTTTTTTTAAAACATTGATGACAAAAGTTTTTACCATAATTTTACAACACGCATACAATGATTAATGGATTTGTGCATTTGGTTTTCAATGCATTCATTCAGATTTAAATGATTGGATAGTTGAGGTAATAAAACGTGTCAAACCTACATTTGGATTGCTCGTATAATTCTAGCATAGTAGATATATTTATATACTTCAAGAGTTTCTTGACTGTCGTAAGAATGAGCTATAATAATGTTACTGTTTGGGTTATTTTGCATTCCCTTATCTTCAAATTAGTTATCGTTGATTTGCTCGATGCCTTTACTAATAGATTTTATTAGCATTCACGTATTGTTTTCTACTAGACTGCTTCCATTGTTTAATGTCAACTAGAATATGAGAATTGACTAACTATTCTGTTTTTATTTCATAACACTAATCTAATGTCAAATGTAGTGAGTGATAAAACTGCTAAAATTTCACAGTTAAATTTATATAAACGATCAAATTCACGTCTGTAATTATTCATTGTTGTTCATTTCTTAATGATTTTCTTCATTGGGATTTCATTATGACGAAAAACTCTATTATTCTACTTAGGTTATTTGATTGGAAATTGGTATGATGTTTAAATAGGTAAACAACAAATGTTTCACTAACAACGAGGTCTCAGTCACTTTGCAGTCTGATTGTATTTATGAAATTTTCCATATTGTTGACCTTAATTTATTCAAGCTTCTAAAGTTTCTCTACTTATATTATATATCTAACTTGTTTATAGAACAAGCAATGTGTGGCAAATAAATTCCCAGGTGGTTTTGTTTTTCACCCTTAATAAAAATATAATCTAATATTATTCAAGTCTTTTATGTAATTAGTATTTATTTATGCGAGCTAATAACAATACATGTTAATTAGTTAATTTCTTCTGTTTGTTCTCCACCATTTCAAATGTAGATTGGCAAATGGTTCATATCATGAAATTTCGGCATTATAAATTGCTGACGCCAGTTGATAGAGAAATTAATAGACCTTTGACACTGAAAAAAATATACTCATTAGGTATCAAACTAGGACTGTGTTCACATAGTTCGACTCAAGTTTCTTTAATAAATGTCACAATAAGTGTGATATTAATTCTTTTTTATCTTATGAATTCAACTGCTTTCAGAACAAAATCAAAGTAAGCATATCAGCAGTTCACTCTTTATATTCGAAAAATCTGACGAAAATTTAAGCAATAATGAGTATTGAAAATACTATAACCGAAAACTATGTAGTTTATTGTGAACAACATCTGCAGGTTGAGCCTAAAATTATATTACATTCTAAAATATTCTGTCGATCGTAAAACAATCAATCGCAACCACGGAGTGTTAAACAGCCTTAAGATGGTTGTCTTTAAAAACTAATCTAAGCTGTATAACCATTGAAACTCAAGGGTCATTCGATAGTTGTTTCCACTAATCTGGCACTTTTCATTAATGTGTATCGACCAACTCATACAAAGTCAAAACTGGGAACTGTGGATTTAATGAAACTCAGGTAGTCAAAAATATCATATGATGACCATGTTATAACAAAAGTTGACTGAACTTGATCTTTAAACCTCTTTTTCATTGCAAGTTCAGTGTCGTTAATAGTTCTAATTTCGTTAAGCTGTCATATATACAAGTGAAACTGGTCATACATATGTACAGTACAGATGAACACTTTTTCAACTACTATCGTCAAAGAAAAATCACCCTAGTTTTATCGGCTGGGAAAGTAATATGTTCAAGAATCATTTAATGGCACTGTTATGATGTTCATCATAAGCAAATAAAATTGAAATATGTATTTTAATAGTTTTTATCGCAGAGAGATCTTAGTTAAATTATCATTAAAATGCAGGAAGCACTGAGCGATCGTTTCATCCTAGTTTCGGGCTCCTGTTTAGGACGAGTCCATGATCATACTACAAGAGATCGAACCCAGGACCTTCAAGCTCATGTGTGAACATCTTATCCGTAAAGTAGTTATCTGGCGTCCGTTTAGTATAAATGTTTAACTTCTATCAAATCAAGATAATCCACAACTACAATGAAACAGTTGTCCAGTGTTTCCTGTATTTTAACGATACTCTAAGATCAGTTTCTGATTTACATATTTGTTTACTTACGCCTGTTACCCCTAATGGAGCATAGGCCGCCGACCAGTGTACTCCAACCTACTCTGTCCTGGGTTTCCCTTTCCAGTTCTTTTCAATTTTTGTTCATTCTTCTCATATCTGTCTTCATTTCTCATTGTAATGTGTTCCTTAGTGATGAGAATTGAACAATCTCCACAAATCCCAATTTTAAATTAGGCATACAAATAAAATATAACTATTTGAAAGTTTGTAAATACGTCCTACACTCAAGCCAATTCATAAATGATGGTATCTTATGTATGTTAGAATTTTATTATCTTTTAAATGAAAACTGATTACTAATTGACATTCAACATCATGTAACGCTAATAAACTAAAGTCGATAATTAGTCTGTAATTGTTACCAACATAAGAAGTTTAAATTAAATATAGTCCTATAGAAGGAATCTCGTGCCCAAATAATCTCTGCCTATCAACTAGAATATCGATAGACTAGAATCTGTCATGATAAGAAATGATGAGTTACCTTTGTTCTAAATAAAAAGTTCTAACTGATAAATTATGTTTTGGCGATTTAACAAAGTTGAGTAAACTACGAAGCTTTATTTGAAAAGAACAAACAAATTAGATTTAACATTTTTATAAAACATTTCTCATTGCATAAACATTTCATTTCTATCTAATCTGTTTGACAGACGCTAAGAGTTATTCACCACTGATTGAGGTTGAAGGGTTCTTTAATTTGACAGCTTATTTCTCAGAAGACTTTGAATTTGATGTCTGTATTCATTTAAATATCAATGTTTACTTAGAATGACATCTACATTTTTAATTACGTAATCTTTTCTCGATTGCATAACCTATTTTTTAGTGAAATGCATCAAATAATAAACTTTTTTTTATCTAGTGGATAGATTTTAATCATATCTTTAACTGAAAAGTAAAATGAATTCCCTAAAAACCTTTTATAATCGTTGATCGCTTAAAGCCTAATAAAAATTCTATTTCATTATCGAAACCATTCATTTCTTACAATATATCGAACAACTTTTTATGACGGAACAAATCATTACCAAGGATGTCTGATTTATTTTGATACACAAATCATTTGAAGTTAAGTAGAAATAGGCTAAAATATTCAATGAACGAAGCGGTCTCCTCAGTTTTATTAATTCCCTTGAAAAGTCATCTCTAGGATAAACAAATTTCGATATCATTGCCTAGTTTAAATGCTTCTCTGACTAATATGAATTTAATACGAAAAAAACTCCGACTCTACTGGAATTCTACGGTTTGTAACGCTCGCAAAAAATAACAATATAAATTTTTAGGATGAAAAAATCTATCCGTTCTAACTTGTAAACAAATATTATGCACTAATATACAACTTTTTAGCATAATCTATTCACGAACGCTGATTAAATATTTTTGATATGAAATCAACTCATACTGAGGAATATTGATCATAAAGTGCCTTTGGAGTTTGATTAGTAATTAACAGAGAAATATCAAGCAAAGATAATTTTAAATCATTACTAATTATCACAAATATCTTTCAAGTACTGTTTCGCCTTTATATGATAAATAAAGTTAATTGTCAATGATAATTATGCAAGTGTTTGTTTAAATTTTATGGTTATCAAATTTAATTAAAAAATTCAGTTTAATAATTAATTACCTGATAATGGATAATATCTGTATTCCATAAATACTAGATATGAACATAGACTGGATTACCAATAATGAGTGAAAATGTTGGTGTATGTTTGAAACTTTATCACAGTGACATAGGTGTAGTCATTATTTGTCCATCTCCCAGTCCTGATTTTCAATAACATTTCACACGTCTTATGAAAGAAATCACTTCCTTCTTTTCGATCACTATTCTTCAATATTTATTATTTGTGGTATCTCATCCATACCACTGTTATTTTGACTATATTGATATTCCTCTTGTTGATTTTGTCGCACCATACTGAAATTGTATGACAACTTGGAATAGTGTACATTTGTACCAGGTCTTAAATTATTCATGTCGGAGTGAACTGTTGCCGACATTACCAAAGTTAGTACTCACATAAATATCAAGCTCTCTGTAGTAACTTTCCTCTACATTTAAAAGAATAGTTTCACATTGGTTGGACGCCGATTTAATGTAAGACATTAGTGAGGAAGTATCCTTGAAAAAGCTTAAATCAGATTGCTGAGCGAAACGTTGGATTAACTAAGACTTCAACCTCTGAGATTGCTAAAAATGGAAAATAATTTCTCTATGAATCATTACCTACTGCATGGTGATGTAGTTTTGCAAAATTTTGAGTACTTTGGTTAATTTCGAATAATGGATGGTAAGCATTATGCACAGATAGATTTCCAAAACACCCATTTAATAGGAACACCATGAAAACTCTCACATACATCTTACACGTCGCAATAAAACGTAGATATTATAATGGGCGAAGATGAACTCTAGATAATGTCTATAGATTCAACTTCAATAGGGCTGTAGATAGAACTATGACGAAAAGTTTGTGCTCTCTCTTTAAAAATTAAACTCTTTCCCTTTTCTGTTAAATAACTGTTTTTATTATAAAATTAATTTCATTATCATAAAACTGATTCAATCGATTTTATTTTGGAAATATTTCAGCCTTGGAACATTACGCGCACAGAAGAAAAGAGAATGACCAAACATGTAAGTGAACATGAGTGGTAATCACATTCAATTATTATCATATTCTTATTCAACCGTTATGTGTGACATCGTAAAATCGATTAATTTATTCAAAAAATTTGTCAATGTAGGATAAAAAATAGTAGAAATGATGGGTCATTTTGTTATTGATAAAACTAGATAAGACTAGTGCATCTTTAGTTCGATGCTCAAAAGATTCTATTCTTGTTATATATATGTAATCACTCAATAGTTATATCATACAAAAGAAATGATTAAAGTACAAATAGATGATGAAAACTTTGAAAGATCTATCTGTCCTTCAAAAAAATCGTTTCATGATGTTATGTCATTGAGAGTAGATAAATAAATGTAACGAAAATATAGTCATCATAACAAGAAATAGAATTATGACTCATTATCATCTTATTCGAACGACTGATCATAATTTATCAAGTGAACTAAGAATACACAATCAAATGCATGTCTCTGAATAATCCGTTATTGATACTTCAGTTGTTCATAATTTATACTTAGATTAATACAAACAAGAATTTTGTTGAAATGATAACACATATGTTTGCCGTCTAGATTGACAAAATGAAATAGGAACAGATGAAGTTACTCAGAATGACAATGAAGGCGTAAAAACTAATCACAGCCATATTGTAGGTATGATGTTCATTTTAGAAAACATTTTTTGTATGTCCGATCAAAGATGTCAAAGGAATATACAAATTTAAAGACAGGTTTACACTATAGGCTGAATAATCTTAAGCAAAATATGGAATGGTTGTAAAGTGTTTCTTTAGTTTAAACTAATTCATCGGTTAACAAGTGTTTGTGAAGAAAACTATCTTCAGACTGAACTGATTTTTGCAAGCATTTGATTTTTAAAAAAATTTTTAAACGTAACTACGAGGTAAATGTAATTTGTCGTCAACAATCCTGTTATTTAGCATTTGCTAGAGGAACTTACGTCCACCTTTTCCCAAAGTGATTCATTATTAAATGTCTAAAAGGAACTCGTCCCGAAACTCTGTATCAAGGTTTAGTTACTTAGCAGCACTTAAAAAAAAGTATATCTGAAGTTAGCGTGAACTTTTCTCATAAAGGGATATCGTTTGACGAGAAAGAACAGAAAGTTATGCTGTATTTACTACTTGTGAAAAGCATAGTTTACTTTCTAAAAATGCCTTTTTCCTAGTAGTGTTGATTTTAGTCCCAAAATTGATTCTTTTTCTAGAATCACACTCAGATCATTTGTCCAATGTAAAATTTAATTTCGGTCAAGCTATTTGCCAGAAAAATATTCACCTAAGAACATGAAATGGTTTTTACATAAAATACTTTTGAATAATACTAAAAAAGATCTGACGTTACAGACGTTACAGAAAATAAAAAAAACTGTAATTTACACTACTGTATTCTGTGGACAGACGCAAATTTATTTCATTATGATGAAGTTAAAACTTTATAAAATATTGGTAATTTTTAACTAACAAAACTAAAGTGTATACACAAAATAAATTGAACTAGATTAGATTTTTCGCCACTCTACATAAGTATCTCACTAACAGATATCTGATGAAGTGGAGCGTAAGTGTTTGAATTATTCGGATTTCAATTACCATATCAAAGATTCTAACACTGTCTCATCTGCCTCTGTTTACAAAACCTGGAAGTATCACTAGCCATGACACATGATGAAGAATTCAACTCAAGGGTTAGTGCATAAACTCTTAGTTCACATTTAAATTACATAACAAATTATCACAAAACTGCCGATCTTTGTAACTGATTTTTGCCCCAAAATAAGACGTTAATTTATGACAGTTTATGTATTCGATAAAACTGACCGAGACCACTTCTTTGGAATTCGTAACTAAGTTGCAATAATCTTCTCTTTGTTAAATGACTGGCTACCACACTCTTTATCATCTTATCATATGGAAGGTGACAATGATGTAATTTGTTGATATTTTCACCACTGTCGAAAGAGGAGAAAGCATTAATTCAGTATGCTATACATGATACTGCCAAAATGAAAGCAGAAAAAATCCATAGTCTGATACTGAAGTGAATACATCGCATCATAACATACAGAAGTAAGGATGAAAAATGATTAATTTATGGTATTTCAAATATTGACTGGGATCATTGATAACAGTTGTTCACATTGATGTGTGCATGTTTATTTCCTGCCCAACCAGTGCATCTGTCAGATTAAAACACTCTAAACATTGGTAAAACTAAATAAGGTACAGAGATGAGCTTGAAATAACCGCAACAAATTTCTAGCTCTTTTGGAGATATTTAGGAAACGGTTTTTATAAATGAATAGTTCATGGAAAAGACAACAATAATATTACAAAGTGCAACCAGATTTTACATAATTGTTAAATATCCTAATATCTTCCACGAGTTATTCTGCTAGTAAATGGAACATGCAAGGAGATAAAAAATTGCCATTATGGGTATAGATTGTTCATTTTCTAGAACCCTTAAAAGGATCTGAAGCATCCCTACATTGTTCATAATTTGGATTATGCATGTAGAATTGTGATTTTCTTAGTGAACGAATGAATGGATTTCAATAAGAAATAGAACAGGAGTTATCTGATCAATTAGTTCACAAAATCTAGTGACGCCACGTTAATATTTGTATTAGAATCAATCTAAAAAGACAGAACTATGCATTTGACGTGTTAGACACTATCAACTTTACTCTGCAGTTGGAAAGAATAATTCTCCACCATTATTTTAAATGTTTGGAGCAATAAACGAAGATATTTTCAATGTTTGTCATACAGTTCATGTAAAAAACACAACTCGGATTCTTGATTATGTTTAACTTTTCTGTAAAATATAATTTCAGTAAAATAGTTTGACTGAAGCTAACAAACTAATAACTAAGTGCGAATTTGTGTCATCGAATTTCGGCCTCACTTTCTCGGTGAAAGCTAATAATACTATTATCTTACTAACTGAAGTAAGCTGGGTAAGACATTAATCTGATTTTTAATATCCATTGAACCGCTGTGATTTGTGTACAGCGTATAGCTAAAATTAACACAAGTATATTCTAGTAGATGTAAATGCTAACAATACAATTCATTTGGTTGATATTCAACAGTTTTCATGCTTCTCATACTTATATTATTGATAATTCACATTAAAAAAACGATTCTCTTAACCGACCGTCAAGTTAATTGTTTAGCTGTCGCATGTTTCATTACAATTTTCTTATTGAGTAACGAACAAGGAACTTTAAAGTAATCAGTATTTTGAATTTTTTTTCCGCAAATTTTTACCTTGTTATCTCAATTGCACTTGATTGTGACCAGACAGTGAAGCAACTTATTAAATTTTTATTTTGATATATATATATATATATATATATATATATATTTAATACTTGTAAATGATATGGACACTAAAAAATGGTTTGTATGATAACAAAGGAAAATTTGTGTAAAGTTAATCATAAAAAGTTTGGAAAATCGCTCGTAGAAAAGCTGCGAAAATAGATTTCATTGAACTCAAAGCATCAATCAGTCAATCAATCAGTAGCAACGTAGAACTTCGTACGTACGTAAATCATTTCATGTTGCCATACCACATTAACACAGAGATGTAATTGTCAATTCAGATCCAATAGTAGTAGAGGTAGTAATGGTATTAGCAGTAATTGGAGAGGTTAGGATTAGAAGATATTATTCAAGAAGTAGAATTTAGTGAGATAGACTTAGAAAGACAAGGATAAAATGATGAAGAATTAAAAAGTTTAGGATTTGAGAGAACACAAAGAATGAATGCACCTGAGCCATTGCAAACGGTTTTGAGCCATGTCATTCAAGGTCTCTAACCATCGATTATTATAATCTCGTGGACTTGCTGATCACTTTTGAAAACTAAATGTTTCATATAGAATATAAATTATTATCTAAATATCAGCTTCTGTATTTATTCTAACCAGTCATAATAACTAAAATATAACACTTTTTAATGATTAAACCATCAAACAAGATTTTTGAAAATGACTTATTTGAATATATATTTCCACATTACTAAAACAGACATATGAACTGAATGAAGGATATTGTCCAATTACTGCTTACCATGTTCTACAGTTATAAATGTAAATTAATGATCTTTAAAGATAACCAGATCTAAGGTGAATATATATATATATATATATTTTTAAAAAAATGCAACATGAGAATTATGGATTGTTAGTAAAATAAAAATAAAATTTTCAATATTACTGAAAAAGATATTCTTCATTCAGTTTATATTATTTAAGTTTCAACAAAAATGAATTTTTGCTTTTAAGTTTAGAAAATGTTCTCTGCAAACTATTCTCAATCTTATCGTTGTTATCAAAATCCAATCACATTTTCGCCAATATAAAATAACTTTATTAGTTATTGGAAGACGTAAGAAAAACAAACAACAAATCATGATCTCAGCAACATTTGTGTTTATATTATCATCATGAATAATCAATCATACATGATCAATAAATTCATTACTGTAAATCTAATCAGCATTGCTTTTTCTCCTTCTTGGGAATAAGCTTTGCTGTTGTATTCACTTTGTTTGAAGTTTTTTTTAAAATAAGTCTCAGAAACTGTTTGGTTGTTTACTTATTGGTTTATTTACAATGAAGAAAAGTAAGCGAAAACAAATAATCATCCACTTTCACAAGAGTTAATTAACAACAAAATTATTGGACAAAATAAATAAACAAACATACTTAGTTCAGCTCAGTGATGAGTGATTCTTTTACTTATCGGTGATTAAATAATTGAATTTGTTGAAGTATCATTTTTTTCAAACTCATGAAACAACACTTTGCTTTAGGTATGAGTCAGGTTAAACAATTATCACTTTCGAATAGTCGCTGAATCTGATAAATACTTTTCATTTGAAATATATTTTCCCTACGTAAAGAGTGTTCAGTATACAAGTGATATAATTAATACAATATGTTGTTGATAAAAATCACCCGCTTGGTC